TAATACGAAGAGAGAGAACGCTAACCTTGCTTGAGGCGACTTCTGGCGTGGAGGACAGGAAGGCGGGTGGAGAGGCAGTTATTGTTTGGAGGGAGAGTCCCCCTCCCTACAGGAAGCCACGACCACGTGTCACGGCAGGGAAAATGGCTGTGGATCCTGTTCGTCACCCGATGCGGGGGTCGGAGATAGAAGCAAAATTTTGCGAAAGGGGCTGTTCATGACCCGAATTGGTCGTGAACAGAAGCGTTCGTGACCTGAGGTACCACTGTATTATCATTTCCATAGTGGAAACAGAGGACAGCGTAGTTGAGACACAGTGTAACTGAGAGACAAATACCTGGAAATAAAATATGAACCAAGAATTTCCTAATTCACAACTGGGTTTCTTTGACAATATATGACACTATATCCATTCAACCTTTCAGAGGACAACTAGCTGACTCAATGCTACATCAGAGATCACTTTGACCTCATCCATGACAAAGTACACCAAACGCGCCAAAGGAACTAATATGGCACAATGAAAACTTTTTTTTTCCACTGAAAGTAAATTCCGTAGATAGTTATTATTTGCAGAGAATTGTTCCGTCTCCATGCCCAGTATTTTAAACTTTTGCCAACAGTTAAAATATTTTTTGGCACATAGCAATGAGGGAGCTGGAGGAAAAATATACGAATGCAATAAAAGGCACAAGTCAAAACCAGGTATCCTAACTAAAGGCTATTTTTAAAAAATATGAAAAGCTATGCTGAAACATCAAAGTTACAGAAGGAAATATTTTGCAGGAGAAAGTTAACTTTGGGTTGTAAACACATCTTTACAACCCTCTCCAGGTATTCACAAACTATAAATGTGAGGCAAAATTGGAACAAATACATGTACTAACTTCTCCATTCCAACATCTCCATGTTGATGAGGAAACTTTGAAGAACAACTCTATAAACAAATGGAGGAATGAAGCTGGTACCATCCCATTTTCATTTTGCCTCACTGTATACCATTTATGAACACTTGAAGGAGTTGTTTATAAATGTCCTTTTCAACTGTCCCCTTTTCTTTAGATACAAACATATTTTATCCTTGCAAACAGAGTTTTATAAACACTGAAATCTCATGAGTTCATGAAACCTTACAAGATCTCAGCAAACTCATGCAAGCACATTGAAATCTGCCTGGAACATCATCTGAAAACTCACATAGGTATTCAGTCTCATAAAACGTGTATAAACCAAGCTATAATACTGATCTTAACAAGTTCAGGCCTGGTCAACTCATTGTTGAAAGACTGTTTGAAATTTTTACATATACTGCACTAAATTGCCTTCAATAAAACTGAATAATAAATGGAATAAAATAAAATGAGAAAGCTTGCACATATTTGTGGGGCTTAATTCTGAAAGTCCATTTCTCAAGCATCTACATTTGCCTCAGATTCTGTCCTCTTGCTTCATTAGCTTCTCTTTATCATTCACTTAAAATTAAAAGACCACTGGGGAAGGTACTGTATTATTCTTGAACATTTCAAATTATTTTGTGAGTTCAGGCAAGAAATGTCAAGGTTTCATTACTGCCACATGACTACTAATGTTGCAAGCACCGCTCCCCTTTCCCCAAATATCAGATATCCAATAGAAAGAAATGCTTTTTTTGATAAAGCACATCTGCAATGACATTCATAACTCCAATCTACTTACCTGTCTTGGGCGCAGCAAATGTCCATGTTTAACATGGAGAACAAAACCCCTTTCACAAGAAATAACACACTCCATGTGCCCCCGGCTACTGGAAGTACAGTTTGCAAGGGTAGCATGATGGATCTGTGGAAGCACGCAGCTTCCCTGCTCTCTACAGGTATGTTGGGTGCAGCTGTTGGAAAGAGAAAGGGGGCACATGTACACACATAACACAGATACACACACAGAGAAAGGGAGAAAAAATAGTCTATAGTGCTCCAAAACAACAGTAACAACAACAGCAGCAGCAGCAAATCTTGTAGCAGAGACATAAATATTGACTTCTAAACACTAAACCTCCTTAAATCAACACGAACTATTTTATTACATGAGCAGATTTCTTCTCAGCTATGGAGATTTTCAATTATTAGAAATTACTGTTTCCCATATAAATATAAGTACTTAAACAATAGTTGAAATCAACCTATTTAAAAAAAAATACTGAAGCAAACAAGTGACCCGATTCAGCCTCAATCACTTCAGGGCAATGCTTGGACCAGAAGTCTTCTCTTCCAACATTTCTGGCCAAAATGATTCCACGCTGAGCAACCAAGTCTGACTGTAGTGGGTGCTGAAGCTACCTAGCCTGGAACAACATGAGAACATAGCAAAAATACTCCAGGCTGGTTGTGCTTGCTGAAGCCACTGAACTTCAAAGAACTATGACCAGCATTGTAGGAAAAAGGTCCTCTTGGCCTTCTTCTTTAGCATGGAGAAGGATTCTAAAGCAGAACAAGGTGAAGAAAGTTGATCACTTTGCTTTGCTTTCAGAAGGAAGGAGACCATGTTTCTCATAAAGCAACAATGAAGGCTTGCTTCACTGGAATCTTCATTGAAAGGAAGCACCTACGTTTTGTACATCCATACTATTTAAAATGGTCATATTACATTGAAGAACAAGACACATTCTTTTTTAGCATGTTATAAAAGTGACTGCAGAGAAATAAAGAGTCTAAATAATGGCTTCGCTCAGTGCTCCTAAATGGAAAGCAAGTGGAATTGATGATCCTGATAACAGGGAAATAATTTGAACAGTTAAGACAGTATATTTAGCACCAATTCTGCTGGTCTGCCACATAGACTTCCTTGTGCTGAAGGATTAGCACTGTACTCAAGAGCCATTTTGTAGAAGTAGCAATAAAGAAAATGTGATGAACCACTGTTTAGTCTCCTTTGGTTGCAACCAACTGAGTCAAGCACACTGATTTAACCAAACCCTGCATCAGATCAACTCACCAACCTAATGACAGTTAAATAAGGACCTATTATAACCAACCAGATGTTTGAAAATCCTGTTATTACTGTATTCAAGAAAGCAAATCAAACAGGAAAGTTTATCAGGTCCTTGATGGGCTATGAAATGTAACTCAAAAGCCACATACATTTTTACACCTGTTTTTCTGATGGTTGACTTGAATTCTGAAAATGAGAGTGGAGAAAAGCAAATACTTGGCAGATTATTAGACATGAGCAGCAGCTCTGATGCTTTTGGACAGATCATGAATCTTCCATGCTGCAAATGGCTAAGAATCTGGACCTCTTAACTTCATGACCCAAATGTATTGCATCATTTCCTAAATAACCATATACGTATGCCTTTCTCATCTCCATGAAATTCTACATTTCTTCTTAATCTTCAGTACTAATTACATATGACACAGAATATTCCTTCCTTGGCTTGGTTTGGGTTGTTGGGTTCATCATATATCATTCTTCTGCTGATAATATTATGTGAGCATTTGTCTTCTTTCTCCATCAACCCCCCATCCTTTGTACAAGTTATATTTGAAGATCCCATTGTGTCTGCTATCCCTAATGAAAAGATTTAAAGACATTCCATCTGCAAATGAATGAAAAGCATTTGTTTGTATCAGCTACTCTGTTGTCATAGGAACATTATTTAAAAATAATCATACAGAGAAAATCAAGGACACTACTCCACAAATCACTGATTCTAGGAAAAAGATGTAACAAATGTTATGACATAAAATGAATAATTTTCAAAATTCAGCATTAGTTACAAACTGCTGGAACCCACAGAACACTTAATAATTCTATACTTACAAAAAGTTATTGAAATTGAAGAGGAACAGTATTAAAATAGGGGAGGGAGGATTAAAGAACTTAAAAAATCAGAAGGAAAGGCAGAGAGTTATTTGTGAAAAAGACTCCTAAAATATAAACAAGAAAATGATGGGATGGAGGGGAAATATGAAAAACTAATGAAACAAAGGGAGAGAAACAACAGGTAACGTAGAGCATTTTCCAGTTAACATAATTAGTGATGTTGGATTAAAACACAGTTTCAACATTTTCTTCAACTTTTTTTTTTAGTTCAGCATTTGCTTCTAACACAAACCAGCCATCAAAATTTATTTTAGCTTACTTACTTGAAAAATTTATGAGCCACTCTTTAAAACAAAAGTTTTCTTAGGGCAACTTACAAGAAATTTTTCCAAGAAATACATATGCAACTCCTGAAAACAACATTCTTCTTCAATTGTTTATTCCCAGAACCCAGATTCTGGATCTTTATTTTGTTTAAATATTAATCATCTGCCCTATTGCAATGACTTTAAGGAGGCAGGGTACAAACGAAAAAAATAAACCACAACAAAATAATACAAGCACAGCACCACCAAAACAGTAGTTAACAATTTAATATAGTTGCAACTTGATAAGAACTAGGGTCCACAGAGCTCCATAGCCAGAGAGGAGAGCTAAGTCTTCAGGTGGCACCAAAATATAACCAATTCCAGCATCAGCTTGACCATCTGTAGAGCCTTAGCCAAAAAGTCCCTCTGCTTATTCCCTATCCTGTTACCAAAGGTGGGATGCAAAAAAAAAAAGAGACCCCTGACAAATTTTGAATACTCTTGAACAGTGAGGTTGCAATCTGGTTAGGGTTTTAAAAATCATCCCTTTCACCTTGCAATTAGGCTTTAGGACTGAAACTGAGCTTTCAAAACCTAACTAGGCAGGGCTTTAGCCCTTTCTCTAGGGTTTGCCAGAAGTTTTGAGTAGATGAAAGGTATCTTCTCCTTCATGTATTTAACTATGACAGCATTGCATGTGTCCAAGAAAAGAATGCAAAAAACCTTTTGTCTGCACTTTTGGGGGTCTTTTCCAGTTCTACACTAACCCTTTTGAGATAGAACACTCAGTTATGTTATAAATTTCCTTAAATTGTTTAATCATCTCTCCTCAGAAATCATCTATCAATAGTTACAAAGGTTTACTCCAAGACTGGACAACTTGTACAGTATACATGTGAGAAATATGTTTATTTATTTGGTCAATTTCTATCCCACCTTTTCTTCAGGAACTCAAGAAGGTTTACAGGGGGATCATGTAAGATGGATGGAGAAACAATGACTAGCCCAAAGCATGCAGCAAGTTTCAATGGCTAAGGGTAGACTTCAATCAGGGTTTCTCCATTCCTAGTCCAATACCTTAACTACTATACCACATTGGCTCTCATTATGGTCTGTTCTTAATTTCATTATGAAACAAAAAACCTGAAGTTAGTTTATACCAACTGCAGTCCAATTATATTTACAAATGTGTAATATTTTGCAAGAATTTCAGTGTTTTTTAAACCTTTCTCTTTTTGTTCTTTAATACAGTTTTTTTCCATGTAATTCATCTTGTGTTATCTTATTCTTCACTATCTAAAATTAAAATTCTTCAGTGCCTAACTTAACCCTGCAACACAGATGTATATTCCAACTATACTCTGACGCTTATAGTCTTATTTCAAAATAATAATTTACACACCATTTTAAGTGATTTCTAAGATATCTGAGATATCCCTACTGAATAATTATTAAGAAGATAGAACAGAAAATAGCAACATTCTTTCAATAAGGATTTGACTGCATGTAGTTTAGCAACTGCCTCATTTAGCGACTGTTTGCAGTTACAACAGTGATGAAAAATTAATTTTGAAATCAATCCTCGCATTTATGACCTTTACAGCTGTGTAAAGCAAAGGAAAGCTGAAGTATCATAAGTACAGTTGTGGTTTCACTTAGTGGCCATTTCACTTACTGACCAAATTGTCGGTCCCAATTGTGGTTGCTAAACGACGACTAACTGTACACCATTGGTTTTGGTACAGGATACTGCGAATGTATTAATTTGAAATAATATTATTGTACATGCTTCATTTAAAAAGAAGAAACTGTGGAAATTAAATCTTTAAGAAAATAGTTAGAGCATTATTAATCTTTACATATCCATCTCCAGAATTACAAATGTCTTTTTCTGCTAGATATAAACTTCATATGTAGTATCATGTAAATTCATTCTGATAAAATTGTAAATAAATATTAAATATAATAGCAATAATACTGGAAAAAGAGTGGGAAATCCTGTAATGCATTGACTTTTAGATATAAACAAATTAAGCTACACACTATACTCTCTTATTCTTGATACCTATGGGAAAGTGTAGATTCCAGCTTTGACAAGTTTTTTTAGTTTTATTCCAAATTATATAGTCTCCATTCTTCATCAACAAATAATGAGACCAACTTTTTTTAACAGAATGTTATGCTCTCATAGGATCAGGTTATCAAGCTCAAATGACCTTCTCAAGAAATAGTGGTGACAGTTATATTTATGAAGTTGAGGAAAACCTTAGTGGATTTCCAGTTAAATGATATACTGTAAAAAGTATCCCTGTTCTTTAATCTTCTATTTTATCAGAGGTGGCCTATAATGTATTTTCTAGCAAACTCTTACTCTCTATTTCTAATTAGATCTACAACAAGATTCTCCCTCAAAGAGGTAAGGATTCTTGTTTGTGTTTCAAGTATACATCAATTTTATTTGACAAAAATTAATTCTTGTTAAATTTGCTTCATTTATCTATTTTTCCTTTTATTAACATACATACATACATACATACATACATATATATATATATATTCAATACAATGGAGACTTTAATACTAAGTAATGAGCTTCATACAGCAAAGACTTTGATGCAATTCACAGCAGTCCTTTTTTCAATGTTATACTCAACTTTGGATAAAGAAGTCAAATAACTTTATGTTTCTAATACTGACATCCTAAATTGTAATTCATACTGACAGAATACTTCTCTTCTCTATTTCCAACCCTCTAAGT